TCTTCCTTTAATACTTCACAGTCCACAATTAATTAAACAACAAAAACGAAAGTACATACATACAGAAAACCAACACGCAAATGCATTGTTTGAAACAGAAGTGTTGAAATTTCAGTTAAAGTCACTACCTTGTGGTGCACTAGTCATTCTTATAAACTAATAATTATTTAACTAAATAAGTTAATAATTAGTTATATAACTCACAATCAATAACTGACCAAATTATCCACAATCAAACCGGAAAAGAAACATGCAGTGAATAAAAAAGAGAATTCTATTCACAAAATATATAGTATCATCTTATTTTGCTTGTGTATCGATGCACTTTTAGCAAATTTCAAAGTGGATAAAGCACTGGACATTTACATTTGACAATAACAAATTGGGGATCTAAATGTATTGCTTTTGTCACTTAAAATTCAGTGCAAATAGTTGGCACAAAGAAATTGCTTGCAAGTAAATGAAATAATGAAAAATATAGAAAAAAAGAATAAGGTGAAAAATTAAACCTCGATTTTGGAGTAAAAAAAGAAAGGAGTAAAATCATCCCCATTTCATTGTGTTTGTTTGAAGTTCAAAATAACCTCTACCAATGTTTACTTACATCAATTAGCATGTTCCAAAATATCTGAGTTTTATCTATTATAACATTTGGCACATTTGAAATAATAAATGGATACCCCCCCCCCCCCAACAAAAACAAAAACAAAAACAAAAAAATTCTTAGAAGACTCAGAATAATGTTGACAAAGAAAAAAAAAACAGTCCTTAAAAGCTTAGCCTCAATAAAACACCATCTAAAGAAACATGTACTTCTTCAGCAGAGCCTCATATAACAAAAAATCTTGGGACAACGAAAATTCCCTCCATATACGTGTATGTAAATGTATCAAGATATTGTTAAGCTGGAACTATCAAAATGTCCTTGTTATATCAGAGTTCTCTATAATAAATATCCATGTATAACTAGAATATCTAGTAAATGGTTAAATTATGTTCTTCGACCTTTAACATATACATGCATATGAATTATAACACACACATATAAAATCCAAAGGAGGAAAAAAAGAAAGAAAGATTTTTTGTTTTTGTTTTGAGGGCTTATGAAATAAAAGAGATCTTGCCATCCATGCATGTACATGTATCATTGTCTATCACACACAAATATCCCTTGAGATGCCGTTGCTCCAAGCGATCGACACCCCCAAAATACTGCTTAATATCATCACTAGAAAGTGAGACAAAATAGAGGCATGACCAGCAAAGATTAAAGGCTAGTTAACAAATATTGCGCTAAACTGCCAGGTGTTTTTCCTCGCTTTTAACCAATTTTTTAAAGCAGCATTATAAGCTTCACATTTTTGTACCTTATAATACACAGATATAGATTATGTGTTGAGCCTTTGCTGAGCAAAGCTTCCTGATATATTCTGACTTGTCGTTAATTGACCAGTAAAATAAAAAACTGCCAACATTTTGCAATGGACCATTAGCATGACAGAAAGATCTACCCTGGGACCCCTAGTAAGGTTGCAGTAAGCTCGATGTCTGATTGTGATGATAAACCTCAGGCAGAACAAAATCATGCTACTTAACTTGCATTGAGATGCAAAAGTACATGGTGACCTTTAACATCAAGTAAAATTTGAGAAATAAAATCTTCAGTCTGTTTAAAATTACTCACATTTGTTGGTGACAATTGCAGCAGAAACGTACCTAATATTTTGTGTACATTAGTATATCACACCTTTTGCTGCAAGGGGTTCATGAAGCTTATATTTATAGCTTAAAGTTTAAATAAAATGGCATAAAGACATTATATGGAGAGTAATGGCAATCTCAATGTATTTGCATAAACCACAAATTGGCACATTTAACTTAGTTTAGAATGTATATTGGTATATACATGTACATGGATAGCCTACTGCATACTACACGATCGTTCTGCGATCCGATTTTCTAAAAAATGGCAATTGTTTTAGATAAGAAATCTTCTAACATCTTCCTGGTTTCAGTTCTAAACAATGATAGTCATACTAACAACTGGAATTCAAGTACATTCAACTCTTCGAGTCAGAATAAAAGCCAAATAAACTTCAAATCGTTGACAATCACACTATTAGTCTGATGTGACTACTATTCTGAGCTGATTTAGCTTTTCCTCTTCAATGGAAGCATGAAGTCTTAATCATAAGACTACCGGTATTCAGATCCTCGGTCATTAAGATTTCAAAAGTTTGAATGTTTGTATTAAATGCTTTTGTATATTCTTCCAAAGCTTGGACTGTAGTTGGATCGTGTAGTGTGCGGTGGGCATAAATCCTCATGTTATATTTTGAACCTCTGGTATAAAGATAATAAACGATTCAAGTAAGATAACATATAGGCTTACAGGTAGTGGATCTGTAAACCTCACTTCTTTCTATTTTCCTCCTAAAGTTTTCAAAAATCTCCTTTTCATAATATTTAGGGCTAGTACATTGAATTGTGCAGCGTTTCTATAGTCCCAATGGATAAATGCATTCTTGCCACTGACATAATCACCATGTATGTCAATAACATTAGCATTTCAGACAAATTTATACCTCAAACATAAAAAAGACAAAATTAATATTATTTATATGTTAATTAATTAATCAATTTATTTATCCTTCTCTTTGTGACCAGCAGCTCATAGATCTAGTACAGACGTTAGAGGAAAAGCAGCTATTTCCCATTCTATAAATCATTACACACATTTGTAACATGTTTGTACATAAAATTGTCTAGAATGCAGCCTTCTTGTTATATAGTTGTACCTTTCCTGTAGTTAATTCAAAATGACAAAAAGAAAAATATTTCTAAATGTCTCAATAATACTTAAATACTAGCACTGATTGTAAACTTAGACCGGCCAGCAGCTACTACATACGTGTACTTGTAGAGAAAGAATTAAAGAAATTCTGATTTGAAATTAATTTCAATTAATACTATTCTATAAACTTGATTTCATCAATAAAAGTGATCATAACCATGAGAATGTCAGAGACACTCTAATCTGTTGCTCATTTCTACATGTAGGATAAGAATATTATACTCTATAAAGACATCATAAAACAATGAAATATATTAGCTACGTTTACATGCACTTTAAAGTCTTGATTTATGTCTTACTTTCGACTTCTAAAGAGAGCTGACAAAATGAAAGTAGGGAGAGTAGAAGAGGGTGAGGGAAGAGACGGGGGCAGGAGAGATAGGGCAAAACAAGTCTGCAGAGAGAGAGAGAGAGAGAGAGAGAGAGAGAGAGAGAGAGAGAGAGAGAGAGAGAGAGAGAGAGAGAGAGAGAGAGAGAGAGAGAGAGAGAGAGAGAGAGAGAGAGAGAGAGAGAGAGAGAGAGAGAGAGAGAGAGAGAGAGAGAGAGAGAGAGAGAGAGAGAGAGAGAAAGAAAGAGAGAGAGAGAGAGAGAGAGATACATATAGAGAGTGAGATGTAAAGAGTAAGAAAATATGAAGAAGAGAAAGGTGAGAAAGAGAGCAAAAATGTGCGAGAGAGACAAAAAGAAAGAGAGAGAGAAAGAAAGAAAGTGTGAGTGCGGGTGAGAAGCAAACAGAAACAACCAAACATCAGGAGAACAATCATGATGAGTACAAATGTAGATACAAACATACATGCACGCACAAACAAACAGACATACATGTAAGGGGAAGCATAATTTGTTTGAAGAGTATACAGAGTAAAAATACAATGGAAGAAAAGAGGGGAGAAAAAGCAGAGCAAATTCATTCACAGAAGCAACTAATTCAACCATCTCTAAACTCTCTCTTAGATGTTATAGGTTTAAAAAAGAAGACTTCTTTACAGGTTTCTTACATAAAATATATTGGTAGACTATCTAAATTGATGGATCTACATGTATGGAGCTTAGTGGAAGCAACTACGATACTATATGCTTGCATTGGCACCAGAGCGTTAACCTTCGGTCTACACTAACACCTAAAAGCTTTGTCACGAAGACGAAAAAACGCAGAGCAACTTACGCGAGCCGCATATTTCACACTTGCTTGCTTTAATACCCTTTTTTTGAACCCCGAAAATCGCACAAACCCTTTCGTTTCATGTCATGTACATACAAAGAACAACCAGGCTCAATATCTTACCGGTAGTTCTTTTACTGAGGTCACACTTATTCCCACCAAGTGGTCTTATCCATTGCTTTTATCCCTTATGTAAATAAGGAAAAAACAAATAAAATTCCTCACTTTGATAGCTCGTTCATTTTAACAAAAGGTATTACTCACCACCAAGGGCATTTTCAATTGCCAGTGACTAATAAACAATCATACTGTTTTTACACTAAACTTATACTTCTCTAATACCCATTCTTGTCACATATATGTTAATTTCAATCTTCAAAAGACACAAGTCCAATACTTGCAAAGTGAAAATATGGGCTTTGTGCTAGCTGCAGCAAGTCTGAAATTCTAGCACTTGTCAATTAATTCAGACAACAATGTGAAGGTTCCCTGAAGAAATGTGCTCCTGAGAACACACATACAAACAAGCCAATTTAATATAAATGACTTGGAGATATGATAATAACAAAGGTGGATGTATGCTTTGTGGCGTTACAAACTTAAAGTATCAATAAATTAACTGACCCGATGAAAACCTTCTTCAATTTCAACCGTTGTTATTGCAATGTTCAGATCGTTTACATCTCAGTCTAGCATTGCTCTGACACATTCATGTTAATCCTACCAAGGGCCAGAATGTTATCATTTCTTCTTTTGCAAATTCAAATACTGTACATCTTTACTTTCCCTTTTATGGGATAGCATTCTCAGCAAACCTCTCAATCACCTCTACTCTCTGCTACCTATCTCACACATTAAAATTGAACACACTGAAAACACGGCACAATACTAGTCGCTTTAATACAGTCAAACTCGGTCACATATTTATCACTTATCTCTATAGTTAAACAGGCACATTAATCCAACTTTGACGACCAAACTAACATGTTCTTCCTGTAACTCAATACTCCTTCCTTTAAGGAATAAAACAAGGAGAAGTTCACTTTACATTTTACCTAACATCAAACAATATTTCATGGATAATAAACAAATTCAACAAATTTTGAACAAACCAATCCTTCTTCAGACTCGTGGTTGACCCGCACGCCACAAAAACATAACAAAACAAAACATGCATCATCCAGTCATAAACTAACCAACAAACCTCCTGTATATAAAGACTACATGACTTGTCAGCTTCTGAGCACCCAAGTCTATAAATGAACGTTCAAGCACAATTTTTGACCCATAATGCTTCATTCATTTCACTCATTTGGTAGAGAAAATCCTTGATGAGTATAACTTTAAAATGAAGGTCCATGAAGGATGATAAACTATGCAATTCTTGTCCAAACAAATTGCAACCCTCTCAGAAATTAGGTTGGAATTGCTGCACACGGCATGGAGTTGGTGTAATAACTGCTCGAATCTAAATCAAAATGAGCTTGTGAATAAAGACCACTGGTATGTGAATGAAGCAGTCTCTCTTTGCTACCTGTCTTGTGTACATGTAGTCTTTATATACAGGCTGACTGTCAAACAGGAAGCAACATCTTGCCACATGTAAGATACCTTCCTTCTCTTCTCTTATAGCACAGGCTAAGCCATCTCCTCCTATTGTACCCCACTTCACTACAACACAGGAACAGTTCCCCAAATAAAACAATCTTGATGATCTGAACCTGATAAGAAATGATGATCCAATCCCAAAGCCTGCAAATATGTGCTACATCCTTATAAACCGAGTTGGTTTGGTCGTTTATATAATGAGCTGTATACCTTAACTCATCACATTCTCCTACATCCAACATTATTTTTGGCACTAGGAACTTCGAAACCCTCTAAGGACATAAAATAAATGAAGAGTGGGGGGGGGGGGGGGGTGTCGGCGCTCTCTACCAATCATCAGCGATCACCTGGAGAGGTCGGTACTGTCATGGGTGCTGCTAGTGCTCTGACCAGACTTGGGCTCCCCCCTGTGGCGCTGCAGCCGTGGACTCCGGTCCCCAAGAGGGGCGACGCCCATGGAGGCGGTGGATGAGGAGGGGGATGGTTGGTCCCCCTCCTGCATGTGTTGCCTGCGGCGGGCGATGGAGGCTAGTTGATTACTGGTGAAGTCCTGGAGTAGGGGGCTCAGGGCGGAGGGTACGGAGTAGGCCGATGGGGATGTAGGGGTGTGGTCTGAGGGAGGTGATGTGGGAGCGTAGATGTTCAGCATGCCTCTCGGCGGCACCCGTGGTGATAGACTCCCAGAACTGATTACTGCAAACAAAATCAAATATGAGTATGCTATGAATCATTGAAACTCTATGATAAGTGTAATATCAAAAATAATATGCCTTTCTTGTATAGTGCAAATTACATTTCGATACAATGTCTCTATGTGCTTCCAAAGGACTTTGGATATTATTACCTCGGCTTTAGCTACGGCACCAGTAGCGCTCAGTGCATTCAAGGAATGAATCCTACCCGGTGTAGTGTGTAGAGCATATTGAGATGAGGGAATATGGTCTTTACAAAAAATCACATCAAATACAGAATGTTCCTACCATACAAAGAAAGAAAATTAAATAATCCAATTGAAAATCGTTAGCATAATTATTATCATTGAATGAAACTTGTCTCAATATAAAACAAATCACAACTGCAGTCAATAAGTTGTAAAAATGAAGTGTCAGCTACAGACATGGAGCCTTTGCTCCCAAGAGTGTTTTACTTGTACTGTGTACACCTCTAGACTTTAGACTTTATTTTGCCCTGTTACAGTGGAAGAAAGGGCCTTGACAAGCCGACAATGTCCTTTAGAACATGACATAACCTGAGACTGACATAACATAAACCTACCTGGCACTTGCAAGTCTTTCTTTCTTTTATTCTCCACAATGCGTTTCCTGATGAATGGTGATCCTTTCTCCCTCGGTCTATCCTTCCCTGATGAATCACTAGGTACCAAGAGAGATGATGAATACCCTTCTATCCTAGCATGCTGTGAAGTGGAAGGGGTCAGCGAGGGGGAAGCCCCTCTCCCTTCCGTAGGTCTCACCAAGAGACTTGAGGGTGTGGCTTTAGTTCTATGTTCTAACATGCTGCTGCTGCTGGTGGTGTGGCGGTGCGAGCTAGAGGGCGACGTAGCAGCTTTCATAAAGTGCTTGGAGTTGCCTTGAGGAACGCTATTCTGTTCAGAGTACATGAGCAGACCTCTCTCCTGCCAGTATAGTGGCTCAGAGCCGTCGTGCTGCTTGTTGTGCGACATGTTATGATGAAGCGATGTGGATCTCACATCCACAGGCATAGAGAAATCCAGGTTGTTGTTGAAGCCGTGTCCTGGCTTTGTTATTGCGTTATTGCCATGAGTGTCCACATTGCGTACGCTACTGTCCGATAATCCCGGCGATGTGTGGCTAATTTTGAGGGGGTGACTGGCACGTTGGAGTAAAGGCGATTCGATGCACGGTGGCGGGCTTTGTACGGGGCTTTTTGGTGACTTTTCAATCTTTTTCCATGGGTCTTCAAAGTGTAGCTCCTTTCTTAACGTGTTCGGAGAGCGTGACAGTCGTAAACTAAAAGGTTGCAGCATGTTCTCCGTTGCACTTTTGACACGCTTGTTGACCTTAGGTGACCTAATGTCTCTCTGCTTCGCCTCCAACGCTGAATGCATCGAGACAGCGGTGGTCGAACTGGCACTACGTAGATTGTCTGCGCTGTGAGAATGAACACCCATTGTGTTTGAGTCTGATAGCGTCACATCGACCGCTCTGTGCACGTTCAGAGCACGATGCGTTGGTGGTGAAAGCACTGCAGAGTGAGGGCGTTCTTGTCCCTGATGCGCATGCACCTGGACCATGTGACGAGGTTCCCGCATTGCACTATGTTTGTGTTTCCCAGTGAGTGATACATTCCCACTCTCCATTGCTTTACTTGTTACTTTCTCCTCTGCTGCCGGACTGAGCTTCAAGGTCTTGGGCTCAGGTTCTCTAAGATCTGCGCTCTTCACCGAGCTCTCCGTTACCTTCTCTTCTGCTTGACAGTTCTTCGTCTCACTCAAGGAACTTTGAATTGCACTGTTTGGTTTGGCTGTGGCTTGGGCTGGGACTTGGGCTGTGGCTTGGGCTGAGCTAGCTGCCTGCTCTTTCTCTCTCTTTCCCGTCCAAACCTTCTTGTTCTCCCTCATGTTGTGAAGCATTGACTGAGAGAGGGCCGAGGGCATGAAACGAGCCCAATTCTTGAACAGAGGCTCAACCACAAAGCCTATGAACCCTGGAAGGCAAACACAAAAACAATACGTCTACAATTAAACTCTTGCCAAGAGAAATCCCCATGTAAACAACATTAAAATGTATCCCAAACAACTATTAAAATTGTTCATACCCTTACCAAGTTTTGTAACTTTTGCAGTATGTAAACAAATTCAATTGTCCCCATATAAGTTTCTTGAGGATGTGATTAAATTATTCAACAAAGTATTCAACAAAGGCCCTAATTCAACCAATTCATCTTTCATTTTTAATTCATGAAAAACACAGAACACATCTAATTTACAAGGGATGTGAGTAACTAAGTTGTTTTGAATATTACATGTAAATATTGAGATATCAACATTTCTTGTACAATTGAGAAAATGAACCCAAGATGCACATTGGTATGAGGACAACAACATCAATCGTAGAATTTTTCAGTTTCATGAACTCTCAAATCACTAGGATGCAGACCCCAGAACTGCCAGATTCATTTAAAGTGAATGATACAGGCGTCCATGAAGGTAGCCACACTGAACTTGTGACAAAAGTTCACTGTGGCCGTCCAAAATTTTTGCCGGAGCCTGTTAAGGATCGAGACACATATCGTCGGTGGGGTGACAAAACCTCATATCTCAATTTTTTGAGATATTTATTTTTTTGCATAATTTTGTACCTAATGGCCTACGACACCACCTGATAAATCCATGGAACGCCTCCTGTCTCGGTTTTTTCACAAATTCCAAACAAAGGACGGTGTCACAGCACTAAATCTGTTGAGACAGGAAAGGTTTTTGTGCTCTCCTGAAATTTCATGATTTTTGAGATACAAGGTTTTGTTACCCCACCGATGATATATACAACCCTTGGGAGAATAAAATACAATCAAACTTACCGCATTGTATTTGTGGAATTGTTGTTGTGTGTCGATTGCAGTTCATGGAGATTGGCAGGTCATCAGCCTTTTCTCTGTCACCTTAAAGGGAGATCAAAAAGAATATTACACCATTTTTATTTAAAAATATAAAAATGTTTAAAAAGGAAACTTTTTGAGGGTGTTTTTGCTTCCTCTAAAGTTGAGGTCAGGCCCTTGTGAAAAATGCCTAACATTATGAAACATCTTTGATTATGTTTTGAATCCTTCAGATGGGATTATCGCAGTGCTTTTGTAAGTAAAGTGGATTATCAAGGAGGTCTGGAAAACAAGAAATCAAGTTCTATCATTTTATCCATCACGGTGCTAACAAGTTTACAAGGCATGTATCCAACTTAAATATCATGAGAAAAGTTCAATATCATGGTTGAATTTTTCAATTGTTCATCTAGACAAATTTTTTTTTTTTTAAATTGTTCAACGTTCAACATCAAATTCAAGTTTTGTAAATTCATTTGGACATGCACATTTGGGGCAGTGGTTCACTCGTCCTTCTGACCAGTGAATCAAGACTCAAGAGGGCGCTGTTCATGCTAGCTCTTACCTTGTCTGAAGAACTCTTCGGACACCACATTGCCCCACTTCTCAGTGATCTGCCATGGTCGGCAGGGGTTACAGATATCAGCACACTTCAGAGCAATCTAAAGCAGGGATGAGAGAGAGAGAGAGAGAGAGAGAGAGAGAGAGAGAGAGAGTTAATGAGTGATGAAGATCTGAATGACAGAAAAAGGAAGTACCTATATTGAAGTTGATGGATAAATCCTACTTTTCTATAATTTAGAACAGTGTATTAAGATTCACCACCATCACTATCACCACCACCATCATCTTCATCACCACCATCATCACCATCATCATCGTCATCATCATCACCATCATCATCACCACCATCATCATCATCACTATCATCATCATTACCATCATGGTCATCATCACCACCACCATCATCATCATCATCATCATCATCATCATCATCATCATCATCATCATCATCATCACCATCATCATCATCACCACCAACATCATCATCATCATCACCACCATCATAACCATCATCATCATCACCACCATCATGCCCTTTAGTAGATCCCCATGGTAACTTACTTGTAAGATAAATTTCCTAGTTTCATGACTCTTAAGATTCAGGTCACTCCTTTCTAGTATATTCTGTAGAATAGAAAAGAAGAATCATAAATAACTTTCTTTTTCCATATCAAAGCACAAAATGGTGGACCCTTTTCCCAACAGCATGTATAGCAAACATCAAAGTAATAATCAGAAAACTGAAAGAAAGTGATTGGTGAATGTAGTTTGGTTAAATGGACTGCAGACAGATACAGTACTCTCGAAATGAGAAATGATATTAAAAATGAACAATTCAAATGTTAATGTGGCACCAACTCTTTACCAATGTAAAAAGAAATGAAGGCCGTAAAATTATGATCAGTTTGACTTTAAACTACAATACCTTGTTTCAGGTGAACTGTTTATCTTTAAAATAGCTGTTTTTGGAATGCATTACAACAATGGCTTCCTTTGGGGAATGCTCTGAGATTGAGAAGTCAGTAGAAATCAACTCACCTGAAATTCAGAAAGGAACTCTTGTTGCCTGGCAATATCAGTCGCCAGGATAAGCGATCGTATATGATCCACAAACATTTTCCTGTGTGGAGAGATAAGAGAAGTTCAATCATGAGACACTTATGACTTGCATTTCTTCTGGATATAACAAAGTAAAACATAAAACTAAAAAAGAAAACCCCAACACAATCTATGTGAATTGTCATAGAGATCGAGAGAGAATAATTTCAAAATAGTGGAGGCTACTAAGAGTAAATTGATTTTTGAGAGGGAACCATTTGAAGTTATTTTAAAATGTTCACCATGTACTAAACAAATAATTTCAATTGAAATAAGGGGCTGGACAAGCATATTATAGTAAAAGATCAAATTAGCCTTGGTGGAAATAACAAACACAAATGTGCATCTATCGGACTAGGAGTTCAAGTAACAGAGATTACGGTAGAGGAACTTTCAGAAAAGGCTAACCATTGCAGCAAATGAAACTGATGCTGAAGTCGCATCCATTCCAAAATGTATGTTTGATAAAAGTATGTGCACTAAACCTACAAGGTTTCAATCGATAAAACATTATTTATGTAAAAACACTCATGATTGGTAAAAAGTTAAGAACACCTTCTGAAACTGCCAATAAGAGAAGGCCTACCATTGTACATGGTTTCATGATTAATCACAAAAAGACACCTTTTTTTTCTTCTTTCAAACCAGCTATCAACAAGATTCGGTTCATAAAAGAAGTAATCATAACAACTGAACAAGTTCCCCCCAAATAATAGATATATAAACAAATCCAAACATTCCTTATGTACATTGTAACAGCAGTAGCGATTGGTTACCACTTGGGATCATCATAAAAACAGCCAATGAGAGGCGACTTACCATTGTTCAGGGGGTAGATGGTCTAGAAGGCCTGTTTCTGTTAGAACTGAGATGCCCACCCGCCAGTGGTGGTTCTCAAGAATTGAGGAATTCTAAAAAAGAAAAATATGGAGAGGGAAAATTTGAATGTGACATTTAATAATAAAACAAAACAATTATGATGTGTCTATTAATGTCATTTGTCATTGGATGAATTCGCTCACAATTACATGATCAAAGACCAGTTACCTACTACTATTAAAGCCTTCATGAGTCTCGTGACTCCTGACACTTTTCATACAGCACATTGTAAATAAATCTTTATTACCCCCCCAAAATGCTCATCTTTGGGCATATACCGTCAAACCTCCTTTAGCAGCCACCTCTATATAATGGCCACCTGTCTATAGTGGTACCCCATGTAATTGCCCCCCTCTAGAAGGAAATGTGTGTTGTAGAACCTGTCTAGAAAGGCCACCTGTCTAAAGTGGCCACTTATCGTGTTTTCATTGGGTAGCCATGATAAACAGGTTTGACTCTACTTTCATTCTTACCCATCAGGTAAACCAAAAATCCATTAATTTCAGCAAAGTATATAACAAGACTGAGCATTCTAGCTTTAATATGTAGAGTCATAAATAAGGCATTCTATATACATTTATCTGTCTCAATCCAGGTGTAGATAATGGGTACTTCATAGGAATGACTTCAATTTAAATCGTTCAGTGCTGTATAACGATGGGCAATGTAATAGCAGCAAGAATGGAGCATAGTTTATGCTTGAATGCTATGAGAGCCGCTACCTTTTGAAGAGGGCAATACATACAGTCATGTGAAGCCAAGGCATATGAAACTGCAAATTTATTATTTTGCCACATCATTTCCTGCATGCTGAATAAACATAGTAACCTTCACAGAAAAGAAAGTAAACTTTAATAGGGAAGTAACATCATAACATCATATTTGTTATGATCATCAGGGGAAGATTGGGAGTTGGCTTGGGAATTTCTATTACGGTATACTGGTCCTCTCTACCAGAAACAGAAACCTGATTAATATACAAGCTCAACGATAAAGCAATTGATGGAATGAAAACTTTGATTATATCTGACAAGAAAAAAAGAAAAGACAGTCAAATCTGTCCATTAAAGGTACTCTGTCCCTTTTGCAGGCCAAAAAATGAAAAGGTTACATAACATTCCAATGGCATTTGAAAGATAATACTAATTTAGAACTCCCCTTAAAAAAATGGGGCTTGAAAATGTCTTTAAGTGGGAAAATAACGACTATTAGTTGTCAAATTGACTTAGGAGCTATAGAGCCAATAAGTAATAGTCTTGATTTTCAGACCGTTGTACCGCATGTTCGTACGTTTTATGCTGCACAAAGATTCAATCAGTTTAATTTTGGCCATTACAAGAAGTGGTTTATTGATGTAGACAAATCCTTTACAGCTCATTTTATGTATGTTATTACCAAAGAAGAAGAAAAAGCCAGTCAGTCACTCAATACTGACAATAGTGTCTGACAGTTAAGTCTAGCAAGTAAACAGGTTTCCTTGCATAATTTGAATATAAGGACACTGCTAATGTTTAAATTTCAGATAGGACATACATGACATATTCATAATTCCTGCAAAGTTCTACAGAATTTGAGGTTGGCTGCAAAAGGGACATAGTACCTTTAAGGCCTCTCAAGGGAAATATGATAAGTGGCCACTGTAGACAGGTGGCCTTTCTGGACAGGTTCTTCAACACACATTTCCTTCTAGAGGGAGGCAATATAGGTGACCATTATAGACAGGTGGCTGCTAGAGCAGGTTTGATTGTATACCGGTATGCTAAATGGTGTATTGACATTTACACAGGGATCATTTGCTACAGGCTTTCTTTTGTCAAAGGTATAAGGTTCGGTCGGGCCATGGTCAGGTTGTTATAGGGTTTCAGGTTAGGTTAAGTGTTAGGGTTATTCAAACCCTCATTTTCCCTATTGTATGTTTATCAAAAAATATTAGGTTAAGGTAGGGGTTGTGATACGGTTTTATGTGAAGTGTAGGGATAGGGTTACATAGTAGGTATAACCTTTGGTTCAGAGTTGGAGATATGAATGTGGTTAGTGTAGGGTAGCAATGGCCAAACAATCGTCAAAAGAGCATGTACGGGACTACACACTTTAAGGATTATGAAGAGGAGTGTAATACTAACCTGATAGAGCTCAGCGAGATGGTGTTTGGAGTTGATGAGGTACTTCTGATTTACACCAGGATGATCCAGGTCATGCATGGCTGACCCTAACAGCGCCCCCATGATCTCAATCGGTTTCAAGGCTTCTCGCAACTGAAAGATAATAATAATAATAATACATTCATTTGTAAAGCGCAATAACTATGTGGATATATTCTACTGCACTTGATTTTATATATGGGTATTTGCAACATAAATGTTTGAGTTTGAGACTTGATATTTAACAATTCAGTGACATACATGTAACTAGGAGATGATAGATTAATTTAGATTGTATTAGCTTATTTTTTTATATTGCCCGTCGCCTTCAGGGTTACAATGAAACACAGCAGAGTTTTACTGATAAAGGGGTGATGTGGTCTGGTGGATAAGTTGCTGGACAGTGAATCAAAGGGAACGGGGTTCGAATCCCTGCAACAAAACTAATGTCCTTTGGCAAGACATTAATCTACATTAATCTAGGTGAGGTTAATGGGTACCTGGCAGGAATTAATTCCTTGATTTGCTAGAGCGCCACGATGGCAGCCGTGCTAATGCCGGGGTAATAACTGCGGACATGAGTGCTATACAAGAACCTACTATATTATTGTTATATGTGATCTAATTTGACGGAATCTTGCTTAACCATCCTTACCCACCCCTACCGTGCCCCTCTTAATCCCCTTTCCAGTACTGCCCTCCGATTTCCTTACCCCCTCCCATGATCACCATCATCACCCACTCATCCTTTACCCATCTTATCACTGGGCAAGTGGAGATGCATGAAGAGAGCCAAGTCTCATGGATCAAGTGCAATAAGAGGACCTTCCTTGTAGACCCCTCTTCCCCTGCCCCCCTGCCCTCACCCCCTGCCTTTACCCCCTGCCCTCTCCCCTGCCCTCTCCCCTCGCCCTCCCCCTGCCCTCACCCATCTTGACCCACCCTTCCCACCCTCCCACGCCCATCTCATCACTGAGCAAGAGGAGATCTTTGATGACAGCCGAGTCTCGCAGATCAAATACAATAAGGGATGTGAGTCAAGAGGGTCTTCCCAACCCAACCACGTGCCTTCAAATCACCATCCATGATTCACGGTCATCAGGTAGATTCTCATTACAAAAACAAGACGCCGCTTGAGTAGCGAGGAGAGGGGCAAACACAAAATACAGGTAGAAAGTGAGGAAAGAATGACGGACAGAGAGAGAGAGGGGGAGGAACAGACAGAGAGGCAGAGAGAGAGGGAGGGAAACAGACAGAGAGGCAGAGAGAGAGAGAGAGAGTGAGAGAGAGATGGAGAGAGAGAGACAGAGAGAAAGAGACAGAGAGAGAGAGAGAGAGAGAGAGAGCGAGTGAGAGCAAGAGATGGTCAGAGAGAGAGGGAGAGAGAGATGGGAGATGGAAGATACAATCCAGATATCACAGAAAAATATCTCCAGGCAAACTAGCAAATTGGATGTTCTAGATTTGGCAGGATTAGACGGAGCTGAAAAACATCAAAGCTGCTCTGATGGCGGATAAAGCCGTCTCTTGTTTCCAAATGATCCATATACTCATTAGGAAACGGAGGGTCACCACACGTCTTATTGCAGTAATCTCTCTCAACACCTCGAGTGCTTTTCACCTTACTTTACTTTTAGTTAATCTTCATGTGTGCCCACGAAGAACTCTGATGAACCAGAGAGAGATGAACAAGAGAGCATCATCACTATCATCACTAGCTATGAGATGCTTTTTTTTCATCAGACCAGATGAAAGCCATGATGTTGATGATGATACTAGTGATGAGGATGTTAATGAAGAAGATTATGTGTCTGCTTGTTCTTCAATTTATGATGGTGGAAACTTAGCAACTAAAAGCTTGTAACACTTGTTTGGAGTAAGGAGGAACATTGGCACTACAATCCTTAATTCTTCCTCCTCCTCCTCATCATCAATTCATCATGCTCTTCCTCCTCCTCCCTCCCTCCTCTTCTTCATCCTTCATCCTCCCTCCTCCTCCTCCTCCTCCTCCTCCTCCTCCTCTCCTCCTCCTCCTCCACCTCCTCCTCCTCCTCCTCCTCCTCCTCCTCCTCCTCCTCCTCCTCCTCCTCCTCCTCCTCCTCCTCCTCCTCCTCCTCCTCCTCCTCCTCCTCCTCCTCCTCCTCCTCCTCCTCCTCCTCCTCCTCCTCCTCCTCCTCCTCCTCCTCCTCCTCCTCCTCCTCCTCCTCCTCCTCCTCCTCCTCCTCCTCCTCCTCCTCACCAAGTATAAACACATTAAATGGTATCAGGAGTGGTGTTCTTACCTTCTCTTCCTGTAGATAGCAGTGCATAGCTTGGCAAACATCTGCTGCATGCATAGAATTGTGGTACGGGTTCTTGCTTTTATTGTAGTATGCTTCCTCAATCAATTCTGTGAAAAAGAATTTTCAATGCAAAATTGTCAAGACTCACTTGATAAACAAGCTATATATGTATGTTAAACACAATAAGTTAATTTGACAAATTGAATGTACATGTACAGGTATGGTATGATCATAATACAATCTGTCCAAATTCAAAAGAACTCCCCATTAGGATAAGATAATCCAAGACAATAAATGATCAGCACCTGCACAATGCTAATCTAGGTTCATATAAGATGCTCCCCCTTACCTATTTGGGTATTACACAATGTAATAGGGTCAAGTCGATACATGTTTAAGGTACTATGTCCAATTTGCAGGCCCAAAAAATGAAAAGGTTAAATTCCAACGGCATTTGAAAGATAATACTAATTTAGAACTTCCCTAAAACAAAGGGGGTTTGAAAATGTCTTTAAGTGGGAAAATAACGACCATTAGTTGTCGAATCGACTTAAGAGCTATAGAGCCAGTAAGTGATAGTCTTGATTTTCAGACCATTGTACCGAATGGTCGTACGTCTAATGCTGCGCAAAGATTCAATCAGATTAATTTTCGCCATTACAAGAATTGGGTTATTGCAAAAGGGACATAGTATCTTAAACAAAAGAAGGACCAAGCACTGCTCCCCTTACACTTAATATGTATCTACGGTATACAAGAAAATTATCAATATTTTCGTCATCAAAGCATAGGGGATTGTAATATGGCACTCCAGCGCACAGAGTAGAAATAGATCTTGGTGATTGGTTTACTGATTAGATGGAGAGGGCGGTATACTTACCAAAACTCTTCATGAGCTTACAGCCGTCCAGCTTGAAGTGTCTGGTCAGGCCGTATTGCTCAAACAAATGAAAGAGAACCATCTTTAATGAGTGGCCTGAAAACAGAGGAAAGATAAACACAAGATTAGCCATCATATATTATTTTATTATTATTATTATTATTGTTACACAGGAGCTCTTATCTCTTTTTCTGTTGAAATTTCTATGCCATCATTTTCATATAGTTTGAAGTCTTTTTTTCACCAGTGCTTAATCTCTTAGTGCTCCACATAGTCCATGTCAGTTTTCTTCACTGCATCAAATTTTAAAGACAACTTGCAAGATTTTGATCAATAGCAAGAAAACCTGTGAGATAGACTTCTGAAAATCGTTCCTGTTGAAATTCCTTCTGCTGTATGACAGCCATGTAATGTTCATTACTTCTTTGTAATCATTGACATTATTATGTTCATTTTTGTTATTTTTGTTCTTGCCATAATATCAAATGTCAAACAGATCATCCTCATCAATGTCATCCATTAACATCATGTCTATCCTATCATCTAGATATCATCAATCATCTTCATCATGATTTTTAGGAGTTCTGTCCCGGGAGTCATTGCAAATATCATTGCAGATAGGATCGCCCAGGGGCTGTCTATGTCAACATCAATATGATCTACTTGTAGTACCATCATCCATGTGTGCAACATCCTCTTAGTAATCGATTAATCATCATCATCATCGTCAGCGATACCATCATCCTCGTTCATAATATTATCATTCTCGCACACACCATGACTAATTTCCTCTTTGTATTCTCTGATATCATCACTGACGTCTCACTCCCTGTCTCTACTCTTCCTCTCCAGAATAACCAGCTTGCGTTCTTTCTCTCTAGGAAATGCTAGACGTGTCAACTGGCTTGCATTCAGGATGGGTTGCTATGGTAACGATCATCACCTGGGCAGGAGCAGGGCTCACCTGGCAGATGCCTGTTGGTGTAGGCCATTCTTGTGACAAACTCACTTTGAGGGATGAATTACCTGCCTGCCCTACAGCACAGGATCACCATCCATGCCTCCATCTTCAAACTCCTTCTGTTGCAATGTCTGATTTTACTACAACAGTCATCTTCACCATCGTCTTCCTTAGAACTATTATCCTCCTCATTGTTCCATTTCCTTCATATACCTTCTCCTACTCTTTCATAACATCACAGTTTATCAGTCATCCTTCTCCTTCTCCTCCTCCTCTTCCTCCTCATCATCACCACCACTATCATCATCAAAATCCTCCTTCTCCTCCCCCCTTCCTCCTCCTCCTCATCTCCACCACTACCATCATCAACATCCTCTTTCTCTTTCCTCACCTCCTCCTTCTCATCATCACCTCTTCCTCTCTCCCCCCCCCCCCCCATTTAGCCACCCAAACCTCCACAACAAAATAAATCATCCTGCCCTCAAACTCCCAACCCACCGTTTCCCTGGAGGAGTCGCCACCACAACAGCCCCCTCTATGTTAGAACCAGAAATCATCAGCCAGATGGCTGTTGGATTGACCATTCCCACAACCCTCCCTCTCTGAGTGTCACAGCCGGTTGAACTAAGGAAGTTCCACGGATCAGGACCAACCTTGGGGTCATTTCCTCCCGCAGCTTGTGACTTCCTTTGACATCTGCCTAACTCAGTTCTGGCTTTCCTCAAAACCACTTTCACAGGTAATCCAACGTTCTGAAGCTCGATCTCCTTGCCCAACCCCTCGATACAGAGTCATATGTCAACCCAAGTCAACTTCAGACTTCGACATCTGCTTTACTCAGCTCTGTCTTAACATTTTCTTTTTTCAATATTAACTGTCACATGTTATCAGTAGCGTTCCGTTACATAAGTGGGCCTGGGGGCTCAAACCCCTCAAAAATTTCTTTGAGACCCCCTTCCCCCAACTTTTCATGACTATAAATGAATTCAAGTGAGGCACATACATAAAAAGAATGCAAGAGCTCTAAGCCCCATAAAAGCCCCTCCCCCGTGTATTACTCTAGAACGTTGTTGAAGTCTCCTAGCCTAGCCTTTCGATACAATTTCAGGGGAACCCTACTCCACTTCAAGTGAAGAGACTGAAAGTTGAATACCCTCAAATTAAAGTACATTACGAGGACAACACTCAAATATTACAATGTAGGCCTAATCACTTTGTATACTTTTGAAGGATAAAGAATGTACAAACAACAATTTAAAAATCACCCACATTTTATTCATAATTAGGAAGATTCAAGAGAAGGGTTTGTTGGGAGATAGACATATTGGCCTAAATAATTATCAAAGAAGATGTTTCATATATACAGGCAGCACATGAGAGAGAGAGAGAGAGAGAGAGAGAGAGAGAGAGAGAGAAAATGATACAATTTTATGACACCTGCTCCTGTGATGTCTGACCTTATGAAATTTGTAAATTTCATCTTGCATTGAGCCAACACAATATTGTGCAATCCATTCCCAATCAATTGCAAGATGGCAATGGCCAATCAAGATACTCGTTGCATGAACATACTGTTAACAAGGCTGACCATCAACCAATCAGACTCATTCTTTCAAATGTGCAGCTGATCCTCCCAAACCTTTGTGCTATATGGGGCCCTGATTTAAAACCCCAAAGCAATACAAGCTCTAATCCCATTTCTTCATTTCTTTGACAAAACAAAGTCCGGAAGCATCACGATGCCAGAACTAACGTCAGCTTGCCATACTATAAGACAAACATTTGCATACAGCAGGTTGCATGGTCCACAAAGGGAGTCAACATGAAACAGCAACGGTTTTGAATTTCGATTTTCAGGTTTGACAATCAGCGACGGCTTTCAATTTTTATTTGACAGATTTGATAATCAGCGACAGGATAATATTGAATCTCAACCAAAATTATTCATGATATTATAGTCTTAAAATATGTTTCAGATTGCAGCAGAGTGCATCTAAACAGAGCCTGGCCACAAGGGACCTTGTGCTTTGCATACAATACATCAGTTCCTCCCACGTTCCAATTTTACATGTTGAATCTTTGCTTATAGACTGCATGCACCCTGATTGAGAAATGAATCATCAATCTAGATCAAATACATTTACATGTACTTAAAAGTATAGGCCTTCATGGCTATAAAACATGAACAAAACATACAAGGAATCAATAGAAAGAGGAGACTGGGACCTCCATGTATATTTATCTGTGACAACTTGCAACAGTTACTAATAACTGCTTGCTCCCTGATGCTTTAACACACCATGACATAAGAATGATCTGCCATTTTCTGAGAATCATTGGAGGTGAGAAGAAAAAAAACCCAGGTGCTCCCCGCGCATAATTTCATTTCTGACCCTGGATTGCTGATTTTGGATTCAATCTCTCTCCACAGGCGCAGGCGGGCTGACTAGCTAGCTAGCTAGCTATTCAGTCATTCTACCCCCCTCCCTCTCTCTCTACCCAGCAGTCTGAGTATATCCACTGCCCTGGATGGGGGTGCTAGCTAGTCCCTGGGAATTACAGTCAAATCCTGTTACAATGAGCATTACTAGAAATTTAGCATTTTCTTTGTGAAATAAAAGCAACGTCATATTGCATAAATCGGAACCAATTGGATGTTACTTTTCCAAATCATATCCATTCAGAAAAGTTTTCATTTTTAGTTTATCATTTGGTACTTGGTTGGGTAATCCCTTTGGCAGCTTACTCAGGAAGCTATACTGGGATGAAATGGATTGTGTGAAATTGGTATACTCTAAATATCAATTGGAAATGTATGGCATGCTCTTTTTCCTTGGACATAATGTCATAAGAATTAAAACCTCTCAGCTAAATATCAGAAGATGCAAACTTTTGACAATCTTTTGATATTGATAAAATAAAACACTTTCCTTGTCATGGCCAGCACATCACAGTTATCTCAACATAAATGAAGTGAAACTGTACCTGTAGCTACTCTTTGTGCACCGAAAACAAAAGAAGTACAAATGTTGAAATACAGTATTAATAAGATTTGATATCTCTAACAGCATTTATGCTGTGTTTACTAATGGAACAGGTTAGCAATGAATGAAATCTTTAAAGGGGGACTGCACTACTTGTAGCTACTTGCGCCCTCTAAGCGGTACCCGTTGATCTCCCATGATGCCCTTTTTTGTATGTTAATTGAGAGCTGATTTGTTGTGTAGATAGGCTTTAAATGATCATCTAAGATATGCTTCTTTGTTCTTGAGTGGCATGACCAGCATAGTAGCATACAGAGCTCAGTCATCATACCATTTCACTTATGATGATAGCCTTTGATAGTGATACTGTATTCCAACCGGCTGCTGACATGTAGAAGTTGCTCTGTCATGGGACAACCCTCGATCTCTGGGAGAGGGGTGGGAGGGAGCAAGCCCCTCAAAGGTATAACCTCCCACTGATTCTGTATTCCATCTGGCCAGGTTCCATCCAGACTAAGTGGGCTTTAAGATGTCTCTTATATCGATTTCAATTTCAATTTTAACTCTGCTATCTGAATGTGTTATCTACATGCATGATTCATGAGATGGAAATGTCATACTCTCGACGATCCTCAACCTTGAGGTCAACAAACTTTTTTCATGAAGGTGAAGGTTTTCTTCAGAAATGCCGGGTTAACCAGCCGCCACATATGTCATGTTTGTTAACGTGTAAATGAGTGGATACTACGCACAACAAAGGTCCTAAACATATTCACTGAGCTCTGGGGGGTGTTTCATAAAGAGCTTGTAAAGTTACGCATGACTTTACGAACGACTTGTATATGAAGTGCCAGATAGGATGCCCAAACTTTTTTCTGATATTCCAATAACCTCAATTAAATTATGGCAAAAAATATACTTTGCATTAAAAATGGTTGTTATAATCAGAATGTTAATCTACATCTGCACAGTTCAACTTAATAAATAATAATGAATAATGATTGAGCATCACATTTGGCTTTTCATATACAAGTCGTTTGTAAAGTCATGCGTAACTTTACGAACAGCTTTATGAAACACCCCCCTGTATTATCAAATACAGAAATGTAAAGTATATTACACTGTAATAGGTATGTAATCATTTTAATCAT